GCAACTGAACAATAAGCCATGCCAATATATATACAGTGGGGCAAAAAATATTTAGTCAGCCACCAATTGTGCAAGTTCTCCCACTTAAAAAGATGAGAGAGGCCTGTAATTGGCATCATAGGTAGACCTCAACTATGAGAGACAAAATGAGAAAAAAAATCCAGACAATCACATTGGCTGATTTGGAAAGAATTTATTTGCAAATTATGGTGGAAAATAAGTATTTGGTCACCTACAAACAAGCAAGATTTCTGGCTCTCACAGACCTGTACCTTCTTCTTTAAGAGGCTCCTCTGTCCTGGACTCATTACCTGTATCAATGGCACCTGTTTGAACTTGTTATCAGTATAAAAGACACCTGTCCACAACCACAAACAGTCACTCCAAACTCCACTATGGTGAAGATCAAAGAGCTGTCGAAGGACAGCAGAAACAAAATTGTAGACCTGCACCAGGCTGGGAAGACTGAATCTGCAATAGGCAAGCAGCTTGGTGTGAACAAATCAACTGTGGGAGCAATAATTAGAAAATAGACATATAAGACCATTGATAATCTCCCTCGATCTGGGGCTCCACGCAAGATCTCACCCCATGGGGTCAAAATGATCACAAGAACGGTGAGCAAAAATTCCAGGACCACACGGGGGGACCTAGTGAATGACCTGCAGAGAGCTGGGACCAACGAAACAAAGGCTACCATCAGTAACACACTACGCCGCCAGGGACTCAGATCCTGCAGTGCCAGACGTGTCCCCCTGCTTAAGCCAGTACATGTCCGGGTCCGTCTGAAGTTTGCTAGAGAGCATTTGGATGATCCAGAAGAGGATTGGGAGAATGTTATATGGTCAGATGAAACCAAAATAGAACTGTTTGGTAGAAACACAACTCGTCATGTTTGGAGGAGAGAGAATGCTGAGTTGCATCCAAAGAACACCATACCTACTGTGAAGCATGGGGGTGGCAACATCATGCTTTGGGGCTGTTTCTCCACAAAGGGACCAGGACGACTGATCCATGTACAGGACAGAATGAATGGGGCCATGTATCGTGAGATTTTGAGTGCAAACCTCCTTCCATCAGCAAGGGCATTGAAGATGAAACGTGGCTGGGTCTTCCAACATGACAATGATCCCAAACATACCACCCGGGCAACAAAGGAGTGGCTTCGTAAGAAGCATTTCAAGGTCCTGGAGTGGCCTAGCCAGTCTCCAGATCTCAACCCCATAGAAAACCTTTGGAGGGAGTTGAAAGTCCATGTTGCCCAGCGACAGCCCCAAAACATCACTGCTCTAGAGGAGATCTGCATGGAGGAATGGGCCAACATACCAGCAACAGTGTGTGCCAACCTTGTGAAGACTTACAGGAAACGTTTGACCTCTGTCATTGCCAACAAAGGATATATAACAAAGTATTGAGATGAACTTTTGATATTGACCAGGCCTCTCTCATCTTTTTAAGTGGGAGAACTTGCACAATTGGTGGCTGACTAAATAATTTTTTGCCCCACTGTATATATATATATATATATATATATATACAGTATGTATATATAGGCATGAGTTATTGTTCAGCTGTTGCATATATGCTTTGCTGTTTTTTTTTCTGGGCTCCATCAGCACTCTCAGAACTGTGACTGAGCTGTCATTGTCAGTTCACCATCACCTACCTACAATTGAAAGAAGGCAGGATGAGAGCCAGTTGATGTCAGCACTGTGCAACCAATTAGTGAGTTGCATGATCAGATACCCCTACTACCAGCTTCAGACTTGGTGGCCCTTTTAAAGTGTTGGCTCCCACCAACATAAAGGGGTTAAAGCTGAATTATGTGGAAACATTTTTAACTGCCAGTGGAGTTCTGATTCTCAGCATTAAGTCTTGTAATCCTGGCATCCCTGTTAGACAACATGACCAGATCTGCAACCACTGTTGCATTAGCATGGTAAAAAAAAAACACCACAACCTGCTGATTGGATATTGAAAAAGCAGTACAGTGAGCATGTTATTATGTTTTCTGTTAGTCTATGTACAATGCCTTACTGTACCATAACTTAAATCAAGGAATGCGCTAAAACCACAAACTATTCCTAATTTAGTGTAGAAACATTAGTGCAAAAGATATATATATCTATTATCAATTAATATCAAAAAAATATCAAAATTATGTGCAAAACATAAGTAATTTAAATAATTAAATTTGTGAATATAAAAAAAAAACAAAAATGTCCAATTCTGAATTTCTTCAAATGTCCAAACAAATCCTTTTCAAATTCAGGTGCTCTCAAAGAAATTGTGCCAAAATCCACCACCAAAAGTAAAGTTGGGTAACTCACCAGAGCTCCATGCTGATCAATCTCTATATCAGCAAAAAAACGCTTTTTGCTCTGGGAGCAGATGCAATGAATCAACTTCTCAGGTGTGATGATCAATAGCTACACATTCATCCATAAGGTAGGTATCCACCACTCAATATAATGGTTCCAGGAGCATTATATCACTCTCTCTTTTTTTATATCTCTCCACCGAGGTCATGTTTGGGAATGAAAGAGAAAAATCATGGTGCAGCCAGTTTTTTTATAAAAGTATCCAACAATTTAATAAAGATTTACACTCACAAAAGGGGTGTCTTCACCGACACCAGTATAACAGCATAAAAAACAGCAAATGGTATAACAGTCTCCTGTTCCCCGTACACTCACTACAGCGCTCGTGACTTGAAGACGTCATTCATGACGAAACTAGTAGGGCTTACTGGATGCTGACGTTTGTGGAGAAAATTAAGTCACGAGCGCTGTAGTGAGTGTACGGGGAACAGGAGACTGTTATACCATTTGCTGTTTTATGCTGTTATACTGGTGTCGGTGAAGACACCCTTTTTGTGAGTGTAAATCTTTATTAAATTGTTGGATACTTTTATAAAAAAACTGGCTGCACCATGATTTTTCTCTTTCATTCCCAAACATGACCTCGGTGGAGAGATATAAAAAGAGAGAGTGATATAATGCTCCTGGAACCATTATATTGAGTGGTGGATACCTACCTTATGGATGAATGTGTAGCTATTGATCATCACACCTGAGAAGTTGATTCATTGCATCTGCTCCCAGAGCAAAAAGTGTTTTTTGCTGATCTAGAGATTGATCAGCATGGAGCTCTGGTGAGTTACCCAACTTTACTTTTGGTGGTGGATTTTGGCACAATTTCTTTGAGAGCACCTGAATTTGAAAAGGATTTGTTTGGACATTTGAAGAAATTCAGAATTGGACATTTTTGTTTTTTTTATATTCACAAATTTAATTATTTAAATTACTTATGTTTTGCATAATTTTGATATTTTTTGATATTAATTGATAATAGATATATATATCTTTTGCACTAATGTTTCTACACTAAATTAGGAATAGTTTGTGGTTTTAGCGCATTCCTTGATTTAAGTTATAGCACTAAGAAATTTATTTGGTTTCTTTGAGGTGGAATTGCTGCTTTAAAGTATTAAGGGTGTGGCGCTTTTATTACACTTGTGACCTTACTGTACCAGCAGGATCAAATGTAGGCACCGAGTAATGTCTGCACTTAACCTCAGTTATCTTATAGAGCAGCCATTCTCAACCTAGGTTCCTCCAGAGGTTGCTACAGGTTCTTGATATGTGGCTGACTGACCTCTCATTTGATGGTGCTGCATGGTTCAATGTAAGGGACATTTTGTCTACTGGATACCAATATAAAGGGCATTTTTTTTAGGGTTTTAGCAGGGGTTCCAAAAGACCTAAAAATCATTTCAAGGGTTCCTCTGGGGTTAAAAAAGGTTGAGAAAGACTGATCTAGAGCGTGAAAAAAATCCCAAACCCAAATACTGTCTTCAGACTGCAAGCTAGTACATTGACCTGCTTCCTTACACATCTAATGCTTGGCCCATCATGTTGATGAAAGGTCTGACTGACCAACAGTGATAAGCAGGTGGAAGGAAGCAGCAGGTCAGAGCACTGACATTCAACCAAAAGCGCTCCCAGGGTAAGTCTAGAACATGATTAAAGGTATATGCAAGAAGGAAAGACCTGTTCTAACAGCTCTGCTATTATACACTGCAGAATAGTATTGCTGAGACTAGAGTTTTTCTTTAAATCATGTCTAGAATATGAAAATATGAACCTTCTATATTGCATTTTTAATTTGCCAGCATTTGAAAGAATGAATGCTCCACAAGGTTTTGAGCCTCTCTCTGACAATTTCCTGGTTCTGTGTACCATGGACAAAAACTCATTTTTAGTTTTAATGACAAGAACATCTCTATATAGCATCTATAAACGTGAGATCACCAGGGTAGGGTGCTGGCCTGAACCATCAGGGACAGCCCTACTACAGCACATTAGCGGCAGACAGCATTCTCTAACTAGCATATGTTGTTGCTTTTATTGCTGAGGTCACTTCCAAGGACAAGGTTGAAAAAAGCAGTTTTAATATATGCTTTGTTCCTTTCAAAACCTGATATTATCTCACAATCTGGCAAATTACACATGTTCCATTTAGCAAGTTTTGAAAACAATAATTAGCTAGACTCCTGTAGAATATGAATTTGTAAGTAATTCTATTGTTTAACGGTCTTGGGTTATAATTTAAGACATAGTCTGTATTAGTTTAAGTAGCATGTTGTAGCTTGTAAAACTGTGGTTAATTGTAACTGAACATTTGGAATCAATCTTGAAATATTTAATACTGGTCAAAAACGGGTTAATTTTGTAGGTCAACATGGTGAAGATTGAGTATTTCTGAAGATAATCTTCCCATGCATAGACAAGGTATTTCAGGTTTTTGTTTAAAACAAGGCTAAAACAGTTAAATTATGGAACTCTGTCCTTTAAAAATTGATACCTGTGCATGTAAAGGGCAGTCACTTAAAGTTTCTGAAGCTATAGTTTCACTATACATGTGTCTGAAAGTATTCTGAATGTTAATGTTGTTTCCATTTTATTGATAAAAGTCTTCTTGGGTTTTTTTTTTTTCAGAATGAGGTTTCCATGTTGAAAAATGAGGTAGCACAACTAAAACAGCTTTTGCTTACACATAAAGATTGTCCAATAACTGCCATGCAAAAAGAGTCGCAAGGATACTTAAGTAAGTACTTGATTTTACTCTAATATTTCTAGTTTAGATGTTTTCTGTAAATAGCTATTTAATATTGTTTTACAGGGTTACCTTTACAGCTCAGGGCCTCTTTCATTAGAAAAACAAATAGAAGAGTGTCCATGTTACACAAAGATCGCATATCACCAAAGTGTTATTTATCCTCATTTTACTGTCACCAGTAGGAGCAATGGGGTTAATTTACTAAAGGCAAATATGCTGTTCCATTTGCAAGAGAAGTTGCTTTTTGCAAGGGAATGTGCCCCTGCTTAGTGAATGTGGTGAGGTTTCACTTAGCAAAGAATACCCAATCATGTGCAAGGAAAATAAAATAAAAAACACTTTTATTTACATGTGATTGGAAGTCAGTAGAGCCATACCTCATTTTCTAAGCTATGGGGAAAATTCCCTTGCAAAGTGCAACTTCCCTTGAAAAGTGGAATCAATAGTTAATATGCAGCTCCAAACGTAACTCTTTCCCTGTGCCTCCAGATATCATCAGGTGCATGACCAGGAGCACAGTAGTAATGCCGCACACTGATGCCAAAACCGATGTAAAACCAGTTTAATATAATACGTAGAGGATTCATGTCCATCTCCCACTCAAATGTGTGTTACCCCACAAAGAGCTTAAAGTGATATTAAACCCAAAAGTAAACATTTATTATATTGCAGCTTTTCATTTCTTATATGTTATGGCTGCATTTGTTTTCTTTTTTGGGCTGCCTTTCTTCTATTTTCATCCAGTGATCTGGCCAGTAAGTCTGTTGTTTTTGAAAAGAACCAGCTCTCTTGCAGATGTATCAATTACAGAGAGGTGACAAACCATTTACCACTGGCAGGGGTGCTTACAAAGATCAGTGTTATTTATTTATGTAAAATCTTTATCCCAAAAGTAACAAAACTGTTTGCTACAACTGCTTAGAAAGTGTTAGCTGGAGTTTGGCTTTGATTTGTTAGTGCACTTAAATCTGCTAGTACATCTAACACTACTTCAACCCCCCCTCAGATTAACAGTGCTGCTGTCCAAATGTGCCCCTGTGTTCCTCCATTCAGAATGGGGGCATTCTAATACAGGAGGTGTGTTGCTGGCCAGATCATCAAGTGAAAACAGAGGAAAAAAGAAAATAAAGGCAACCACCACATCTAGTGATCTGTAAGTTGCAATATATTACATGTTTGGTTTCGGGTTTAATTCCGCTTTAATCATGGAGACCTTGCAAAGTGAACAAAATATTTGACTTTGCTCAAATCAACCCCAATAATCCAGGGCCAAGCAGGGTTGACTTTAATAGGCAGAAAAGATGCATTTAGCAACCAGTCACAAGTGTATTTTCACTTTGGAGCTTGCAGTATACACATAACTGCTAGAATCTGATTGGCTATCACAGGGAACACTTTTCTCAATAATTGTGTATATATATATATATATATATATATATATATATATTTCCAAATCAGAGTTATTCAGTAAGAAGCAACCAGTCAGATATAGTATTATTAGAATAAGGTCAGTAAAAATTATTTCACACTGATAAGTTAGAATACGTTAGTGCATTATACATGTTGGTTTAATAAATCAACTTGTACAATAGGTTTTAGGATATATCTTCCACTAAGGGATAGACATACAATGTAATTTATTGTAACTCCTCTATATAATGTATGCGGGGTCCACAGTCAGTATACAGTAATATAAGACAGAAAGGCTCCATGCACACTAGCTAAAAAAAACGCAGGTTAAAAAATGCTGGTAGTAGTAGCGTTTTAGTAGCATCTTAGTAGTAGTTCAGAAGCGTTAGCATTTTATTAGCTTTTATTCATTAGCATTTTTACAGTATATGTAGAGGGGAAAAAAAATAAAGTTAGAAAAAAAGCCATTAGAAGCGTTTTAGTAGCATTTAGAAGCGTTTTTAGCGGTTTTTCTGCTGGAAAAACACACCAAAAACTCTAGACGCTGAAGCTCAAAAAATGCTAATAGCCTAAAGCAGTGTGCATGGACAGACAGGATAGCACTATTTAGCTTCTAGGAGCAGAAAAAATGCTAATAACAGCTTATAGGAGCTTAACCCCTTCACGCCGGCGCCTCCCGGGTTTCAGAAGCCGAGAGGCGGGGTGGGGTTTAGGGTCATGTGACCGCCGTGACACGCCTTCATGGCGGTCACATGATTGGGAAAGGTCCCGATCGAAAGAGGAGATCGGGACCTTTCCGTGAGTACCGGACCTGTGTGCTGGGAGCGCGCGCTCTCAGCACATATGTTCTTTTTTATTAGAACGCAAATGTGCGGCCGCTCGGCGTCTATCCCCAGACGCCGGGAGGTTGCACATTCACGTTCAGCCGCCGTGAAGAGGTTAAAAAAACTACTAGTGTGTATGGAGCCCATCTAATTATGTGGGGACGTCTAACATTTCTCTTTCACTCTAACTTTTTTACATGTAATTACAATTAATCCATAGCCTAAAAGTACATGTACTGAATGTGTTAACCCTAGACCTACCATACACTTTGGCAAACAATCACAGCTAGCCATAATATATGTCAAGCTACCTACCAGTTGTTAACAGAGGCAAATTTACCCAAATCCCCCTCCCCCTATACATTTTAACTACAAAGTTGCCCTTTCATCCCACCAAACTGCGCAAAAAGGTAAAGTGTATCAAAACATATAAAACAAAAAATGTATATATTGCAACTTACCAACCCTTAGATATCATGACTATATTTGTTTTTCACATGCTTTATACCCTGGTAATCCTGTGGATACAACACTTGTTCCTGAGTGACTGTGCTCACGCCTTCACTGTATATATGGATTCATAATAATTAGTACCACCTAGGCTGGACTTTAATTATCTTTATTACATATGGAGTGATGGGATTAGTAGTGTACATATAAAGGATAACATTGTTTTTGTTTCCAGTTCATCACACACACACAAGGCATTTCTGGCAAGATCAAACGGGTATTTTCTGTGCTTGCTGAAAATGTATTTAGCCTGAAAAATGAAAACTAATTTTAGGACTGGTGAAAAGCTATATATTACTTTTTTGTTTTTGGGTTTAGTTATGTTTTAAAGTGGTTGTAAACCTCTGACATGAAATAGGAACAAAGAATATCCATCTATTGTGTGTGCTTGTCTCAATACAGAGCACTAAGTGTCATTTCTGTTTGCTGACTTGTTCCTCTGCTATATGCATGATGAATCACTCCTGACAGGTTTTCCTGACACCAGGAGATAAAAAGGTGACAGAGGAAGGACCTCCAGCACACAGTATGCTACTGACAGACTCAGCTCTGTTCCTGTGTGCTGTGTGAAGGGGGTATGTCGGTTTCCTCCAATCAGCTCTCAAAGCTTTTCTCACTGAGCTCAGCAGTGTGTAATTTCAGCTTTCTGCTCCTATTTTCTGAAAGCTCAGAAGAGACTGCTGCAGATAAACAGGTACAATCCATGTAAGAGGATTTGTTTAATCTCTGTGCACCTCCAGAGGGCAGCCACTTCACTGGGTAAGGTTTGCAACCACTTTAAGTAGCAGCTGATGTTTAGTCTTCACTAGGCCCAGTATTTTTTTATAATACTGCCTAATTTTTGTTGACTTTAAATCTGTCTAATTACATCATATTGGCCAAATTGAAAATATGTCCATATGTTGACCATAAGTACAGCTGAATTGATATGACTGCAGTTTCTGGGACTACTACTCCCAACACTATCCAGTAATTACAAATCCTAGTGGATGCCATATCAGCTGCTACTATTTAGGTGGACACTGCTTCCTGCAGAAAGGTCTCTGCTCTGCCTTAACCATGAGTGGTACTTTTTCTGTTTATCTATACACACAGTATGCTTCATAACACAATCCTATGGCTTGTACAAAACAGCTTACTCAAAATTATCATTCATAACTTTGCTCCTGTTCAATAATATTTTTTGCATTGCATTTGACAAAAGTCAGCCATTCCTGTAGGAGCAATGAAATGCCTCTGGTCTTTATTTAGTAATGCAGTGCACAGAGCAATGAAAAGTGTGCTTACAGCTGCCAAAGGTCTTACTGAAATAAATTGCTAATACATTGAAATATATTGTAGGTCTGTGCATTGCATTTTGACTTATCAAATAAAGACTTGTCTTAAAACAATTTGTATAAAGTAGTAAATTCATGTTAGTTAAGAAGAATTTAATTTTCTAATTCTTTAATCTGCTTTCCTGCTTCCCTGTGCAAGAATGTCAAAGCATGACATCATAAACAGGTGTCTAACGGCTCATACATTGCGCTCCCTCTGTTCCTTGCATCATGTTTTGTATGAATCAACTATCATACACATGTGGACAAATATGTTTTTCTATGTCTCTTTGAAACATCTCCTCAGTTACTAACAAATACAAAGAGTGTTTAAAAGAAATGTATAGTGATATATATATATATATTTTTTTTTTTATCAATTTATGATTCAGTGCTAATGCATACAGATGTGTTTATCTATTAATCAGATTAATAAGAAATATTCCATAGATTTTTTTTTAATTTTTTACTACTTGTGGCCCAAAAGTGTCAGCCTCCAGGCTAAAACACCAGTTTGTATGGGTTGTTTTCTATATCTGTGCTGTGCGGTCAGTTAAGAAGATCCCTCTTTTTGGCTAGATCTGTTATATAGACGTTGCCAGCAAGCATGTATGTATTGCTGTGGTTTCTCGTGAGAAAGCCCAGCATTCTCTGCAAACTGCCTCATGAATACACACTGTAAAAAAGTGTTTATAAATTAAAGATTGGATGCAAATTGTTAAAACATATTAAAATACATCCATTCATAAACTAAATAAATACAAATGACTAAAAAAGCATTATACTTTCCCTTTTTTTTATTGTCTATAAACACTGGGGGAGATTTACTAAAACTGGAGCACTCAGAATCTGGTGCAGCTGTGCATAGTAGCCAATCAGCTTCTAACTTCAGCTTGTTCAATTAAGCTTTGGCAAGAAAACCTGGAAG